GTTCACCCAAACCCCCTCGACAAAAAATTACACTATATATATAAGGTAAATTTTCTTTATTTCTGTAGATATATATATATTTTGAACCCCCTCAATGACAAGGAGAAGCTGATAGCACAGTGGCAAATCCCCTTGAAATTAAGTTTCATGTCACCAGTTTGAGTCCTTGTGATAGCATTTTATTTTTTCCTATTTTAGTTTCAGTTTTTTTTTTCTAGTTTCAGTTATGTTTTTCACGTTTTTTTTAGTTTTTTTTTGTGCTAAAAGTGGGGTTTTAAACCCAAAAGAATTCAAGGGTCCCATTTCTGAAGGCTTATTTACACGTTTATATTTTTATTTTTCGAACCCCTAAACGAAAATGCTAGGTCCGCCACTAATAATGATGACAATATTCGTAACAAGTCTAACAATAATCTCTCCTCTCTTTTTTTTGGTTAGTTTGCTCTCTCAAACAAATCATTTAAAACAAAGATTTTGTTTGTCATGAAGAAATAGCTTGTCCAAGTACTTATAAGGTAACTTTCACTTTTTTCGCATTGAGAATTTAAATTTGATGAATTCGATCTTTAAAGTCTTCTTATAGCTTTTGATTCATTGTACTTCAATATTTAGAAGTTTAAATCAAACATTTGTTGAAAATAAAGCATGATTATCTATCCATATTATGTTCTACATTGAAAATATTGAATTTATATCATGAATTCAATATATACGAGTTGCAAATATTCCTAAATTCCTATATATGAGTTTTTTAAATTCATATAAACAGTTTGTCTTAAAAAGTCAGTTACACGTTTAAACTATCATGACGATTTATTACACATTTTTACCACTCAAATTATTCTATGTGCATCTTTTTGTGTGGGAATATATGTATATTTCTTTCATTATTTTCAATTATTCGTTTTGGATCAAGCCTTGTACTATTATCTCCAAAATAAAGTTAAGAATATGTAGCTATTTATTTGAAGACATCATTTTGAGATCAAAACGTTTATATATTTATGAACGGTATACGAAAACTATACATTACATAGATTTTCATATAACTAATAACTCCTACAATATTTTCTTGAATCCAAAACATCAATAAGATGCACGTTCAGATGTTGTTGCAATCTTCAATTGTTCAAATGGCTATAAAGAGGATAAAAAACAAAGCACGAAACTTTGCCATTTGCAAATATTAATTTTTAATTTGAAAGCTACAATACTTTTTTTTTGGGTTGATGAACTCTTGATTTGGGCTTCCTTTTTATACTTTTTTATTTGACAAGAAGAAGATTACATTTTTGGTATTTTATTTATTAAGGTACTATATGTAGAAGGATTAAAAGGATTTCACATTTGATTATTTTACCATTTTAGACTAAATAATTTTATTGTAACAAATTACTAGCATTAGAGTTTTACTAGTTAAAATCATTGCTTAAAGAGATGAGATGATCTCTTCTCTAGTTAGAAGTAGAAAAAAATTAAATGTTAATGACAAAAAAACATATCTAAATATCATTTTTTCGAGAATTTCTTATCTCAATTGTTCATTGTTCTATTTATTTATCTAAACTATCACCTTTTGCGAGTTTCATATTCAACTATCATCACTTCTTCTTTTTTAAATTAAAATATGCCTTGATATATTGAGTTAGTCTACACACACTTGTTATCGAATTTACCATCAAAATGTGTTTTCATTTGAAACTTCACATATATTGTTTTCTGGCCTAAAAAAAATGATAATATTCATAGAAAATCTAACATTTTTTTTCTTTCCTTTTTTTTTTTTTTGGTTAATTTACTCTCCCAAATAAGTGCTTATGGGATGACTTAATATTATATTTAAACAAATATTTTTTTTGTCATGAAGAAATTGGTTGACCAAGTACAAGAAAGAACTTACTTAGCTTTCATTTTTCTTCTCATTTAGAATTTAAATTCAATTAATTTGGTTTTGACGTTTAAATTCCTCTTAAAAGATTTTAATTCATTGTACGTAAAAAAGTATTCATTGAATTTATTGAATCTGCAAATAATTGTATTAATTATAATAACTTTATAAACAAGTCTAAGATTTTTGTGACTTAAATTATTTTTCAAATATGTCCAAAGTTATCCTGTGGAATGTGGGATCAATTCATGAATCGTCTTTAGATTAAATTTTTATTGCAACAAATTATAAAAAATAATAATTATTATTTTTGACAAAAGAAGAGATCAAATAAGCCACTCTAAAAGAACATGATCAAGAATCAAGAACACAAAATTGTTGAATAATGGTTATTATATTCCCAAAAACAAGTGATGTGGAATTTTACGGGTGGGTAATTTTGAAGGAGTAGATTTGGGTAAGAAATTTTTAATTAGTTCAAGTTAATTTTAGGAAAGTCGATAAGATAGTGACACGTCATAAATGGAGTTGGTAATTGAGGTTAATTATTGGGCCGTCAAAAGAATGACGTCAGGAGTATTTAGGATCGGTAGATAGAGATGAAGGGTGATTTTATATAAATTCACATAGTTAAGAAATATTTTAAACCTTTTTCCGTATTTTAAAATAATTATTGTAAAAAAAAATATCTTTTTAACTCTCCAAATATTAATTAAAACGTATAAATTAAATAAATAAAGTAATATTTTCAGAGAATTATAATGCTTATTACCGGCATTAGAATTCTACTATTTAATATCATTGCTTAAATAGATGAGATAATCTCTTCTCTAATTAGAAATAGAAAAAATAGTAATAGTAGAGTACATTTTTTTAATTACTAGTCTGGTAGTTACTATCCTAATAATTATTATCCTAATAATTACACAAATTCCAATTATGTGGTGACTTTCCAAACAGACCCTAAGTGATAACAACAATAAAACCTTTGATTTGAAACAATCTTTACCTTATAAATAATTTTTAGATATTAATTAAGGCATAAGGTCCATTTTTTTTTATCGCACTATAATAATTATATTTTCTTACTTTTAAAAGTTTTTTAAAAAAAATATCTTTCATGATTCAATACTCTCAACACATGTGTATCCAACAAATATTTTGTTCTCATTTTCCAAACAAAAATCCAATTAATAAATTCTTTTACATAATAATCAAGTCAAGGAATATGTTGTTTTGTTATCTCTTTCACACATATAGCTATTTGGAGACATCATTTTGAGATTAAAGACTTATATATTTATAGATTATACAAAAATTACAGATTACATTTTTCTTTTACAACAATTTTTGGTATCGTGTGTATACAGACATTTACAAAATGAAGTATCATTTTTGTGTAACTTGCACATTGCCTTATCAATAAGATAGACATATACATCTCCCATGCATGGTAGCTTACATTGCTTATCAGATTTGCAATTATAATCAAATTCAACATGACAATGTAATGTTGGAATTGTTCCATATACCATTGGAATAATTCTTATATCTACATTCACAAAAATTAAAATAAGAATAATAACAACAACAATAACGATAATAATATATCTATGTAGTTTCATAAGTGGTGTCTGAACTCTAAAAGGGACAGAATATACGTAGATCTTAGCCCTACCTCATAAAGATAGAAAAAATTATTTACAACACATGCTCAACTTAAAATAAAGCATATCCAATCGATTTGGAAAAAAATAATTATATATATATGATGCAAGAGCAAAGAGGACACAAAGTAAACCAAGAAACTTTGCCATTTAAAATCTACAACTCTTTTTCTTCTTCTTCTTTTTGGGTTGATGAACTCTTGATTGGGCTTCATTTTTATACTTGTTTTTTTTTTACAACAAGAGCACTACATTTTTTAAATGTAATTATAATACTATATATATATATATAGGAGAATTAAATAGATTTCACAATATATGATTTTATCATTTATTGATATATAATCTACAAATAATTATATTAATTATTAACTTTATAAACAAGTCTAAAAAATTTGTGACTTTAGTTATTTTTTCAAAGTTCAAAGTTATCCTGTGAATGTGGGATTAATTCATGGATTGTCTTTAGACTAAACTCTTATGGCAACAAATTATAAAAAAAATAAAAATTTAACTCTTCAAATATTAATTAAGACATATAAATAAAATGAATGGAGTGATATTTTGAGATTTTGTTTGAACAATTAAAGCAAACACGAATATAATCCAAATTACTAGCATTAGAATTTTACAATTTATGATCATGTTACTCTTATATTAGAAAAGGCGTGTTTCAACATGCATGTTTCATAGCTCTAAAGGTATTTTGGTCTTTTCAGTTCTCCATTATAACTACGTGTTTTTTTGCTGTGTTTTCAATTTACACGTCACTCTGTGTCTATCTTCATCAATTTATACTCCACTGTTCTGTGCACATCAAAGGTCTTCTCCTTTCTTCGACATTCTATCCAGGTAAGGCTCCTCCATGTTTTGTTGAGCGTTTTGTATCATATTTATTTTCCTCAAAATTAAAGTTAAAAAATGTTTCCCCATTTTATCTTTCTTTGACCAAATTTGATTTGGGTATGTTAATATTTCCTTCTTTTTTAAGTAATGAGATAATCTCTAATTAGAAGTCGAAAAAATAGTAATGGTATTTTGAGTACACTTCTTTAAGTGATGACAAACGTTAGAACTAAGTCCGATTTTTTTTTTAAAAAAAAGAATTAATTTTGAGATATAACTAAGTATATACGACCTTCAATTATTAAAGTAATGTACTTTTAATCTCTTCTACTTGCGATAAATTATCAACTACGATATATAGTATTTAATTATTGATGTCAATTTTGTACTAATATTATTCAATATGTACGTATGGTTCAATTATCTACCTAAATTATTACTTTTTCGCGAATTTCATATATCAACTATAATTGAAGGTTCGATATGTTTAGTTAGAAATTATATAGATTAATGCATTAATTTAATAATAGTTGAGGGACTAAAAATAAAATCCCTCAAAATAAATATAAACCACTTAACAGAATTACCTGTTCCATTTTCCGCCACACCAAACAGATACCACTACTGAGCTTCGCCGGAAAACCATGACTGGAGTTCTCAACGTTTCGCCGGCGCCAATTTTCCGGCCATTTTCTGCTCACAAACTCTCTAGAAACAACAGAGTTTTGTTTGTAAAGTCAATGGCGCAATCTTCAGACAGTTCTAATGGTTCCACTTCTCTGAGCACCAAAGAGGAACCTAATTCTTCATTTTCGCCGCCGCCGAACTTCAAACCACCGAAACCTAAGCCATTTACACCGAGAGGTGATAAAATTTTGGACATATTGGGTGCTTCTCTTGCTTTGATTTTTCGCCTTGGTACTGGTGCTCTTGTTTCTGGGTATGTTACTTCATTCATTTTAATTTCATGTTTAATCACCTCAATTTAGCTAAAATTTGATTATGTGTTTGTAAATTAGTCTAATTATGATGAATTATCTGAATATAAATGGATACAGAGGATTCTACTAGCTGGCCCGAACTAATTTGGGATTGAGGTTAGCTGATCTAGTGATTGATTGATTTTGTTGGAATAATTGTATAGCATTGGTTTCCTAATTGTTGTAGTATTTGTGAATTGGAAAATGGAAAAGTGTTTCCAGAAATGGAATGAGTTGTGCACTCAGGGTGAGGCTTAATGGTCAAGTAGGTTGGGAACTATGACGTCTTAGGTTCAATCTCAGCACAGGAAAAAGCATTAGGTAATATCTTCCCATCTATCCAAGGATGTGGATAGATTTATCCGGTACTTGTGCTAGTGGAAGGTAACAATAATAGTAGGTACTCTGTGGAATTAGTTAGAGTGTGAAAGTTGGCTAGACACCACGGTTATTAGGGTTATTACTCTTGTTTTGTTGAGAATTATAAGCAATGTCAACATATTCTTCTGGATGCTTAATTTAGTTCAAGTTTGAAGAACAAAACATCAGGAGCTAAGTAGTTGGAAAGTACTAGTTTTGATTTGATACAAAGTTGTGGTTTTGCATTTAGTATTATAATTATTTTAAGTTTTGTGACTCGACTTACAGCTCTAAGGACTCTGTCTAGTGACCAATGGTTGACCTGTGTGTTAGGGCAAGGAGATGGTGAGCTTAGTCCTAGGAGGTCTCAATGGATGAGAACTTGCCCAAGAATAACAGGTAAACCAATACAGGCAAGCTTTAATATAATCTTTTGTTTAGTGATCCCAGTTTCTTGCAATAACTTATCGTACTTTTGGGCAACTAAACTCCAACTGACTAGCTTCTACAAAAGAATTCCCTCTATAACTTTAGGGTGAGAATATGAGTCTCTCAGTTCAGTTATTTGTACTTCAGCCAGACAGTAACTTCTTCTAATAACCCCTTGATTTGACTTCTTTATGAAGAAGAAGCATGTTCAGTATACAAAATCTGCTTACTAATACAAGAGGAGGACACAACTTAGTAAAGAAAGATAATAATCAGCTTTTGTGATGGACACTTTTAAATAAAGTTCTCTGAAATGACATTTAATGAGTTCTTCTTTTCAATTATACGTACCATCAGGCAGCCAGGAATTGCAATAAAATACTCCTTTTCTTTTAAGTTTTCTCCAAGAGTAACATGTTCATCCCAGCGTAAAACCAATTTGCTGGAATGGAGCAGCCAGGTATCTGTATTGAGCACTATTGATTTTGGTATGTTATAACTTATTATGGTCGGCAATAAACAGATCGTTGGCATGAGAACAGTAAAGGATGAGATGCCCATTTTTATGCCAAAAAAAAACTCACGAACATGAAAACTGAAGGAACAATTCTTGTAATCATAGTGTCCAAGATGGATTTTTCTATGAGGAAATCAAATTGAGCAGGAGTATTTGGATAACTTAGAAGTAATGTGACATTGGCAGATAAACAGTCTTCTACCTTATTATATTTTTTGTGCGGAACAATCAGTGATAGGTTAAGGATCCCAGGATCTCATCAATATGTGACCTTTCATAGTAATTGTGAAACATTTTATCTTAACAAACTTAATAAAACACATCAGTTAATCAAGACTGAGATATGGCCTGAGTAGAGGTACTGATAGTTCATAGCATGAGTGTAGGATGCCTGGTGGAATTTTCAGCGACAAGCATACTATTTTTAGAGTTAATAAGAATTTGACATTTGGTCCCTTTTTCTGTACTTATTGAGGGCAATACATGGGATGTCATTTCTAAATTATTTGCAGAAGATGAAAACCAAAAGTAAGTAGATAACCAGAGAAGGTTCTATTTTCAATTCATAGCGATGCAGCTGGTAGGGTATTTATAGCTTGATTGAGAAGTAAAATGCAATATGCTTTTATGTGGTAAAAGTAATTGCGATAAATGAAGAAGTACATGTACAGTGCAATGATGTTTTTATCTAAAGTTCAACTTCAATTTAGTTGTACGAGACAATGCAAGGGGTAACTTCAAGATGTACAAAATCTAAGTTGGAGTGTCTAGTTGTCTTCAATACGTGACGTACATAGTGATTCATGATATGATTTGCATGGAATCCAGAATGCCACTTGTTGTAACATTTCAGTCTTAGGAATGATGAGTTGAAGCTTATCTACATCTTTCTTTTGGGTTTTCTAAAAGAGCTTTGTATTAGTTCTTCTGAAATACAGATGTTGATAATATATAGGATACCTATTATTTATGTACTACTGCAGGTATTCAGCATCTTTTGTCCCCAAAAATGAGGTTCCATCTGATCAGTATGCACTTGAAATTGCTGGTAGTTTTTATTCTCATCCACCTTTAGTTTGAACTTCAGAGTATGAGTCTTGGGTGATGCTTTTCTGACACGAGATGTTTATAATAGGCTTCAAGGTGAAGGAGAGTTCAAATATAGGTCCTCGACCTGAGAAGCCAATCGAGATATATGAGTTTGAAAGGTATTTTTGCTGGGGAAGTGTTTTAATGCCCACTATTACATTCCAGTCAGAATCTGTTTATTACAAATTTATGCTTCTTATTCATTTATTTTTTCCTATTTCCTATCCAAGTTTTGGACATATTGATATTGTAGACGTAATTCACCTGTTTCCTCTCTTACATTGCCTGGCATGGAACATGTGGGGATTTCTTCAGCTGCCCGTTTTGTAGGAAGGTAACTGCAGATGCATTTTCTCTTTCTTTCTCATTCTGGTTGAGGTTCATAGTTATAATCTACTCTTCTTCGTTATTTTAAACTGGTAACATATGTATGTACAAAAAAGCCAAGAACCCTACTGTGCAAAAAGGAATTTACAGAGAGCCAATCAAATTTATCAAGGAGTCTGTCTCCTTTATTCTACTATCTTAACACCAAAAATAGAACACCATAATACAACTGATCTACTGCTGTTATGTGAATTAAAGCTGGAATTGACACCTTTATTTTCCAGTTTCAAAAAAAGAAGAAGCTGGAATTCCAGTTACTGTTACAAAGCATCTCCAATGCTCCTTCATATGGAGTTCTTTCAATTGTTAAGATGGTTGATAGTGAAAGTTTACACTAATGTCTGTAGAACTACTTTTAAAAAATGTGTAGAACTATTATATTTATTCTTTCAGCTTTGGTTAGCCTACTAACTCTGTGGAGTTCTAGAAAAAGAAAAAAGAATCTTGTGACGTTTTTCTTCATCCGCCTGGACCATCTTTTCTTTGAATATTATACAGATTGAACTACTCATTTGATCTTTTTCCTTTCCTTTTTTTCCAGATTGTTAAAGATGTCAATTTGTTGCAGGTTAGGGAAATAGTGGCTATTTTAGATCTTGATGTCCTCTATTATCCTTGCCCAAGAAATGGTCCGAATTTCCGTCCCAAGGTTGGTCAGATGGGTGGAAAGCTGCAGTTCCCCTATATGGTTAGATAACTTCTCTCCTACTGCTCACTGTAGATAAAACAAAACAGTCACAAGCTCTTATGACCACAAACCTTTTACATGCTTTAAAATAAAATAGTATGGCGACTTGTAAACTGCATCATCATTTTTAAAAGTTCCCTTAAAACTCACTTAAATTTTATATTTCAAAATGTTCTCCTCTTGTATTCTCTTGATAACGTGCGACTGTGAGTCAAGAGAAAGATCGTGTCAATAATTATGTTGAGACAAAAACAAAGCTGTGAGGAAGACAATCTTCACTGAAGTGATTGTTTGTTTACATGCTTCTTTTTCCTTCAGAAACCCTCAACCACTATGTTATTGAATGTAATTGAAGAGCACAAGGTGTAGTTCACCTGCCAACTAAGAAACTTTTTCTGATTGATACTTCGGAATAATTTACTAAAAGTTCTTTTGAAAACTATGTTCTACTAACACAATTATTTGATGGCTCAGATTGCTTAAAACACGCTTAAGTAGTTTGGTCGGACACTGATGTCTCGGTTGCATTTTCTTTTTGCTCACTCTGAAATGTGAAAATGACTAGCTATGCTGTAACTCCACTGAACTTAGCTTCTTCAAACTAATCCAGTTGTTTTATTCTATTCATTGATCTGGTCTATTACAACATTATGGCATCTAATTTTTGTGTTACTCTACTGCAGGTTGATCCAAACACTGGAGTTTCCATGTATGAATCAGATGAGATTATCAAGTACTTGGTAGGAAAATATGGTATGCTGCAATGGCCAACTTATATTGAAAAGCTATTTAAATTGTACTTCTTAATGTTACTATTGTAACTTGTTCATACAACTTCAAGCTATATACTGGTGTCCATATAGTTTTTTATTCTGTAAAAAAAGGAAAGCGACATTTAGATTTTCGATTCGCATGAATCGCAGTTGATTCCAAATGACCCATTTAAGAAATTGTTTGGTTTGATACACATTGATCTCGTACTACTTTTCTATCTCTTTGGTAAAACTCTTTCTTAGTGAGTGCATCAATTCTGTTGGTTTCCTTGCGCAGGTGATGGAAATGTCCCACTTATGTTGTCCCTTGGTCTTTTCACTGTAAGCTACAAACATTGGTCATCAATGAGTTAGAGTTATTAGATATAGCATTTAATAGATGTACAATTTATTGAATTTTGGATATTGTCATCTCAGACACTTACTGCAGGCTTTGCCATGATTGGTCGAATGGGGAAGGTATAGGCTTTCGCTCTCTGCTAATAAGTTTATGGGTTTTGATGCTACAACTTCTTCTCCATAATCCTCAAGTTAAAAGACTTCCAATGTGCATAATTTCATTCAAAGTTAAGATTTCTGTATATAGATACGGTTGTCAGAAAACTATTAATATTGAGAACAGGACAAATAGATGATCTTTTTGTGACTTTTCCAGGGGTCTTCTTATAAGCCATCTAAACTGCCTCCCAAGCCGCTTGAGTTATGGGCATACGAGGTTAGACTCCGTTTTTTGATTTCAGTTTTGGTTTAAATGAATCTAAATTAATAATTCTATCAGATTTCTAGTTCAATCATTATGTTAAAAGAATTTTTGCTGAATTACACGGCTTACTTGCACTCGTGTCATTCTTTCAGCCTTCTCCATTTTGCAAAGTTGTACGTGAGGTACTTGTAGAACAAGAGCTACCCCACATACTTCACAGGTACATGTTACTACGAAATGGATGATGAACAAAACCAATACACTGTGCAATATAGGATGCTGTTGGCACTATGATAAGCCGAATAAATTAGAATGTTATCTGTGAGAATACCATCAACAATTAAAGTTACCTATTTCAAAAAAAAGAATACCATCAACAATTAAATATGTTTTCTATGAAGTCTTCTATTAGTTCATACATTTGATTTAAGTAGGTTCCATGCAAAGGATTTAACATAGAGCTAATTGACATTCATTAGAAGGGTTGAACAGAGGACCCTCCTCTTACCCAAACTGAAGAGAATCTGAATGCATTTAGTTCTCTTGTCTTTTGAATTGTTGATTTATCTCAAAAGTATACTTTGCCACTGGTTTCAAGAATGAAGTTCCTCTTAGCTGCTTTTGGAGGGGGGTTTAAAGAAATTTAATAGATGATATTTATAGCTGGTGTGGAGCTTCAATAATTGCATTTCATTTCCAAGAGGACTATTTTGATCAACAAGATGCTTCTATTATTTTTCATGACTTATTTAAAATAAGAAAATAAGATAAAGTTGACATGTCCATTCCATTTCAATCCTTTTATTTTCTCTGAACGGACTAAAACCAAATGGTGCAGTTGTGCTCGTGGTAGCCCCAAACGCCAAGTATTATATGAGAGAGTTGGTCATTTCCAGGTTTTTCCTTGCTTTATGTTACTCTACCTTTTGGATATCTGTTAAGTGTTACACACATTCCCACAAGAAATGTGGAAAACTTAATAATGACTCTGTCTGTCTCTAGGTCCCATACTTAGAAGATCCAAATACTGGAGTCCAGATGTTTGAAAGTGCAGATATTGTGGAATATATACAGGCAACTTATGCTCGTTAAGATGTGAGGCATTTTCCTTTTTTCTATAGTTTAATTTCTCTCTGTAACAAACGGTCAAATTTGTCTGAGCTGCTTTCTTTCGAGATAATTTCACAGGAGAATACCTGCTATGAGGCTCAAAGTTACTTCTCTTATAAATGAACTGAAGATAAATTTTTATATGGAGATAAGTATATAAAAGGAAAGATGTTCTGGAGTACACTGATGTTCCATCTACGTCCTCATCAAATCTGTGTTTCAGTCTGTAAAAGTAAATGGCTTTGACACAGTCCAAAAGATTGGCCTATGTTACTTAAAGCCAACAGGGAATTTCATCCATTGCCCACTATTCACATTATTATTAATTCAATATGTTATTATTTCATGTCGTGTTGTTTGTATTAACAGTCAACTTCAGTTAAATATTTTGTGTTAGACCATAGCTTGGCTATATAGGTGATTAACACTGTAAATATGTACTCTCCAGAGAAAAAATTATGGTTCACAATAAAGGGATTTGCTATGTATGACTTGTATATCTAGTCCAACAAACTGTGAGCAGTCTTTGGTGTTTATATTTTTCTGCAACTCGTTGACTTATAATATCAATTACGAGTGGTGCTAACGAGATGTTATGGTTAATTCTCCCATTATTGGCTAATTCAACTTCTTAAATTGTTAAAGCTTATTCTGGAGTAACATGCCTTATAAACCACTTCATCACCCTTCCATTTGCACGGTATAGCAGGTATGGCCATCAGGTCTGTCATCCTCAAGTTTCTCTCCTTCATGTTCTTAGTTCGTCTCTTGATTACAATCAGCTGAGATATGTCCATGAATTGTAATTATTCTACCTAACTGATGCAACATGTATTTTCGTGTTCTGTAATTCTCTTGACCGTTTATGTGCTCCATCTACTTTATTCATCTTTTGGTGCCTACCTATGCTTGAAGGAAAATGAAGAGATTCTTCCTAAGTATAAGACTAATACTATATCAAGAACAGGCAAATAACTTCTTTTCCACTGTGTCTTTTCTCTGATTGATACAGATTCCTTGTGAAAATCACTGTCTATCTCACTTACCAAAGCAGTACTTTTCTGTAGTGCACCATAGTATTATTTTTTGTGAAGGAATATACATTTAGTGTGTTTGAAACATAGGATGATGAGCTGGTGAACAAGGAATAGTAGAGGATGATAAAGTTGGAAAGCATTATAATATTTTGGCTAAATGCCTAGATAGCCCCTTAAACTTGGCACGATTTGTAAGTTAGACACTTTAACTTAGCAAGTGACCAGACATACACCTCTACTTGACAGAAGTGTGTCTAAATGAACACCTCACCGTAGCACTACTTATTCATCTCCTGGTGCCTAGTGCCTACTGCCTACCTATAATTGAAGGACAATGAAGAGATTCTCAAGTATATGAGACTCAAAATTTCATCAAGAACAAGCAAAGAACTTCTTGCAGTGTGTCTTGTCTCTGATTGATAGAGACTCCTGATAGGATAATAAATTGGTGAACAAGGAATATTATAGGATGATAAAGTTGGAAAGCATTATGCTATTTTTCACAATCCTTTTAGTTTTGAGTTCTCATTACAAGACAGTCTGTCCCTGGAATAATCAAGGACTGCACCTTGCTTTGAGATAGGGGCTAAAATACTACTCCCTCTGTCCCAATTTGTGTTTCATACTTCTCTTTTTTAGTTTGTTCCAAAAAGAATGCCATACTTCCTTAATTAGAAACAATTTAACTTTAAACTTGTCATTTTACTCTTAAAGTGATTAGTAATAGTCACACAGATGTTTATGGCTTGTTTTGGACCATAAGTTTCTAAAGTCCTTTCTTTCTTTAAACGCCGTAACCAGTCACACAATACCACCTAAATTAGGACCCATGGAGTATCAAATTTGATTGGGAATTCCTAATGTCTTTTTGAAGCTCAGAAGAAAAGAAATCAATAGTAGCCATTTATTGTGGAAGTTGGGTATTAGCATGTTCTGTGGTCCAGTGACAGGCTTCCTCCACTTTCACAATTCATAGACTCTGCTACTTTGAAGCATAGTGATCTTTTGGTAAGATATGGTTCTTGCACTTTGAGTAGCTATAAGATAAAGAATATGGCTTTTAGTGCTTGCATTATATGCTTATTTTGAATCCTTCTGGCCCTACATTTTGCTTTCTGACTGATCAGGCTGATTATGATATCATTTTTGTCATTACTTTGTTCTTTTCTTGTTTGTTCTAGGATTCTCTTAGTCACTTTGAGTTTCTTGCATTATTATCTGGATCTCTTAGGCATATTGAACCACTAGTTGATGACAAAAATTCAGGGTAGATCACTATTGATCCACTAGTTGATGACAAAAAATTCTTGGTGATTTCTTTTTGTTTTGTCTATAAGCCATGATTGCCCAAATATTTGGTATGTGAGCTGCCTAAATCTTGAAACTATTAAACCACATACTTTCTATAGGAAACTAGAGACTCTATATAATTATGAATTTCTAGTTATCACACGCATTTGGTGTGCTTGACTCTAAAACCTATCGGTCGAATTAAGTTATGATCCATATTCATCTTAGGATTATTTGCCCCCTAGTTGAAAAATAAATAAGGTCAGACAGACCCAAAAGTTATTTTTTTTATTTAGAACTTTGGTTCCTCGTGACTAATTGTATGTATACATAATAAACTTGTAGTCACTAGTTGGTGCATTGTTTGTAATTGTCACAAGAAACAAGATTCAAGCTGGAAAATCTTGGCCTCTTCTCGTCCAATTGCCAAATATGGTTGAGACTTTCTAAAAGTTTAATAAAGTTATATAAGTGGCATTGCTGGAAACTAAAATTTGGATCTACCACCAGGGAGGTTGCTGGTTGTATATTCTTCTAAAAGAAATAAATATGTATACTCTCTCTTTGTCCTGTTTTATTTGACATCATTGGCTACATAAACAACAACAACAACGTCAACGTATTCGGTGAAATGTGAAGAGGGTAGAGTATATGCAGACCTTACCCTTACTTCGTGGAGGTAAAGAGGGTGATCATCGGGTTAGAGTAAAAATGTTAAGTTAATTTTGTGTTATGTTACTAGTTGTTTTAGAAGTAAACGTTAAAAGATCAGTTGTAAAGTTAATTTTGGTAATGAAAATATCAATCAAAGTTATCTTGGATAGTTAAATTAATCTGAATTCTTAAAATTTTGGTAATTATGTGTAAACAATATTACTAGTGAAATTAGTTTAAGACACTTTGAAACAAAATAGATTTCGTTTGTGTTATCTAATGTCATAGGAAATAAGTTGATAATATCATTCATAGTGATGTGATAAGTATATCGCTTTATTCTTAGTTAGAGATCTCGAAGTTAAGTCTTGTGTGAATGAAATCACTTTTGAATAGAATACCTCGACTTTTCGATAGGAATTTGATCAAAGAAAAATAGATGATAAAGAAATTGTGTCTATGACTTGTCAAATCCAATCCCTTTAGGTCTTCTCCATACCACAACTTTTTTATGTAGTGGAATGTTCTACCTTTTTGAGATATTAGTGACCTCTAAATTAACAGTGGCTTCTCCAACAAAGATATAATTTGTGGATGTCACCATCCACTTAAGGGGAAAACAAGAAGAAAGAAAAATTGGAATAATTCACTAACCCCTAATTAGTTTCTAGTTTCTTCTTCTTTCTTTTCCTATGGCCAATTTACATTTTGGCCTTTCAGTTCTAAAATAATCTTCAAGAATCAACTCATCATATACATGTAATCATACTCTTTTTTCAGGGGTCGTTTGATTGGGTATAAATTATTACGAGACTATAACGAATTATAGATCAGGTATTTATTCTTTTTCTTCAGATTAAAGATCCTATTGTACCTTTTGATCAAGTAGATCAAGCTTACAAAAAAATAATTATACGTATTCTCTCAATAGAATCATCACAAGAAAATACAATTAACATAACAATCAGCTGAAAAACACTAGCACCCAATAACTTTTTCTGATAGGGACTTGCTCCTCCTAATCTAGGGTGTTGCTTGCTTTGTCTCAGCTACTTGTTTTGTTTGCTAGGTTGATACAATTTCTTTTCTAAAATAAAAATCTTCAAATAATATATCGAAATTAAATAATAACAAGATTATTTAGTGAATAACAATATTAATAAAATTTTGTTACAACTAGTTTATCTATACATTCCATAAAAATGGAATCGATAACCTAAAATACAATAAAATAAATTACATGTTACAACTTGTTAAAACATATTTATAGGGAATATATATACGTCAAAAATTCAATATTAATTATTACCAATTGGGGTAACATATGCATTTTTTTAAAATGTTTGTCTCAATGACAATAATAAAATATTTCATTTATCCAAAAATATGTCATTACAAAATTTACTGGCTCAAACAGGTCACGGGATAACACATTTTCAGAAAATAAATATTACTATTCTAAAAAATTCACAATATTTATATTCCTTCTAACAATATATCATAGTAATGATTAATGCACCTCTCAATAATTTCCTAATATTCCTTGAAAATTGTGATGCCTACATTGGTTTGATGACCCTCATATTACGGTTATCTGTTTTGAAGATCAATTAATTTGAATTTACAGTATTTTCTATTAAAAATAATTATATTTTTTGGACTTATCTTCAAAAATTTTGATTAAGAACAAAGAAACCTCTCCACTAAAATTCTTAAATGAGATTCTACTCTTAGTGAATGTCTTCCATTATGAGATCTAAATATGACAACAAAAATTAAAGAGTTAAGATATTGCACAGTTTTTACGTATCACATATGAACCATATTATAAAAGATAAAAAGTTCAAAACATATAGTACAACAAAGTTAAATAAATTGTTTTTAAATAAAAAAACAAAATCCCACAATTTAGTGACATTTTTTTTTGGTTTTCCACCCACATTGGGGCTTGATAATTTAGACTCGTAATGGAATGTCTCACTTGGTAAAATAAAAATTTCCTATCAAAAGCGCCTTCATTTTCAAATTCAAATCTGGAATCTTTGATTAAAAATGAAAAAAATTATCTCTTTTGATGGTCACGATTAGTAACTAAGGCACAACAAGAATTCATGTCCATGTAAAATTAAAGTGAACAAATAAAGTCATTAAGCGAAATTCTCACGCGTGATATAAAATTCAGAATACATAATTATATGAGTTTAAATTATATACACCATCAATATTTTTAAAAAAAAAAACAAAATACTTTTTTACTTGTTAAATTAGAAAAGAACTATATCCTCAAACAAAAAAAGCAAAAGCAAATAATGGACAACTGCTGATATTATATAGTAAAAAGGTTTGTTCAAAAAGCTTATAAATA